TCAGAAAGATTCGCATGGCTAATCGTTCCTCAGCTAGCCAATGTGAAAGAATGTCTGAAAGAATGTGAGTGAAACTGTTCCTGAAAGGAATCTGTGCAACAGCATCAAAGACCGTAGACTCGGCACGAGGGGCTTTTGATGTTCAAAGAGGATACTGGGGAGACCCACTTGACTGTATCACCATGAACTAAACCGCAATGGTTTTGACCCAATTCTCAAGCTGTCAACAAGCTTGTTGCTTTTGCAAAGCACACATGGTAGACGTTCAAGGAACACCAATAGCAACACCCCAATTGTTGGGTGTTGTCTCACTGGTCGGGTGAGCTTTGATAGAGATCGTGAAGAATTTGTTGATCAAAGGAGGAGGAGCAGGAGGAGGGTCGTAGTAGTGGAATGTGCTCAAAATAGGCTTTAAGTCCAATCTTGCAAGCCAACTTCACTTTGAGGTGCTTTGTCTATTTAGCAGTGGCCAATAATGGAAATAAACATTGTGCAATGGATTGGGCATGATTGGGCTAAAATGCTCGACATCTTCAGTATCTCCGTTCTTTGGTCCAACCCCACAGTGCTAAAGGTGTCCTCACATTCCTAGGGCTTCTCAATTCATCTCAATTCCAGCGTTCGCACATTTGTTGAGTAACGACGACACCGAAACATCACCAACTCACTGATCGCCCAGTGGCCCAAAGCATGTCCAGTGTGAAGGTAAGGATGGGGTGCATAATGGTCTTGGGATGATTGAACTTCACAAAACTCCTCAGTGAAGTGGGGTCTCCTCAAAAGGACCTGCTGAAGCCTGGAAGGGCCTGAGGTCTTTTGCGCTCGCGTAAAGCCAACATAGACATAGCAGTGAACACCTGATTTAACGAATAAATAGTTCAGTGGGAACAGTCAAGGTGACGGGGTAACCATGAACAATGACAGTATCCCTTTTACCAAAATGGAACGTAACCTTGAAAAATGGCTGCAAGTTGATTCTATCGGTGCAAAAGGTCGAGTTGTGGCTAGCCTGGAACAGGTCAAGACGGCTGGCCCCCTGTGCCGTAACATGGAATTTGATATCGCCACATAGCCCGCAGTTCATATTGAGGACGCAAAGACTGTCTTCATTGCACTTCTCAAATCTAGATAGGCGAAACATGCTACTAGCGCTGGGGTTTAGTCACCCGGTTTGCAGAAAGTCACCCGGCCGCATGGAAACGCAGCATTAGTCAAAAGTCACCCGGCTGGTGAAAAGTCACCCGCTTTATGTCATAACACAATGTAAACGCTCTACGGAAGTATGTTTGTCAAAACTGCTATACATCAAGAATTCACTGCCCCTGTGCAGGAAAGAACTAGTTTTATGTCGAAGTTTGCAGCGTTTTGGTGACCGAACCCCAATCAGAACGCAAGGTTAGGACACAGATGATATTATGGGAGTTGTACACCACTCTTGAACACTTTTGGAAGCAGCGGGGAAGGATCAATAATATAGAGAGAAATAAGACCGTTTCATTGACATAGCAAGGCATGAAACAGGTCCAAAAGCCATTGCGGGTCATGTTGCTTCCATACTAGTAGTAGTAGTAGTAGTAGTAGTAGTAGTAGTAGTGGTGGTACTACTACTACTACTACTACTACTACTACTACTACTACTACTACTACTACTACTACTACTACTACTACTGGTACTACTACTACTACTACTACTACTACTACTACTACTACTACTACTACTACTACTACTACTACTACTAACTACTAACTACTAACTACTAACTACTAACTACTAACTACTAACTACTAACTACTAACTACTAACTACTAACTACTAACTACTAACTACTAACTACTAACTACTA